AATGCCTCCGGGGAAGAGAGTTGGCTGATTACTGCTATGTTGTGTTAATACCCGCAGAGGGGTAATGAGAGACTGAAGGCCATTAACAAACATTACTGGCTGCATATAAGGCTAGAGGGTCTCTTTTATAGCTTTAAATGAGCCCCTTATCTCTGACAGCAGAAGAGCCAATATGGATGAGCAGCAGGCTGATGATCTAATTGTTAGATTTGTAGAGCTCCGCAGGTGATAGAATGCTCAGCCACAGCAGCTCTCTTATGCAAAGACAAGGGCCATGGCTGCAAAGCCCTGAGCCCCTGAAATACGGGACAGGAGCCTCTAGAATGGAACATCTAGATGGATGCTCTGAGGGCGCTGTCCAATGGCTCCCTTCTCTGGTAACAGATACCGGACGCTCCCCTAACAAGCTGCCACCACCGCCTCCTTTCTTGGTTGCCAGACTGATAACTAGGGTTTAATGAAGCGCATTCCATATTGGCCTGATAAGAAAGGGAAGAAATTACACACTTGAAAGCTGCAAGAATTAGGGAGCAAGAGCCAGGGGGGTATGACGGGCATTGGATTTTGGTGGTGTTTGATCAAGGGAGATGGAATAGAAGACTGGATGAGCAAGAATTCATGAATTTGGGCGCATATTCTCAGGACCACAGGAGCTGGACTACCCTAAGGCGGACTCCAGCGAGTGGAGTAAACCTGTTGCTGGGGTGACTCCTAGAAGCCTGGAAAAGCAACGGCCAAAGCAAAGTGAAGGGGAAATGGCTGAGCTGCCCTAACAGATGAAAGAAAAGGAATAAAGAAGCTGGCAGAAGGGCATGTGCTGGAATGGATATATGACGTACGGCCAGAAGAACTACCGCAAGATTATGTTCCGGGCACACATCATTCGCCGAGGCCATTAGAAACATGCCGAGGAGAGGGCGCCAGCTTCACTAAGAAGTTCCGTGGTGACTTCGTTCTGCAGACCAGCGCTGACAGCAGGAGAGGCAGGGTTGGGTGTGAAGTGAAGGGGCCCCAAGTAAGAGAGGCCAGGTGTCGGGACTTAAACTGACAGAATCCAGGATCCACAATAACCATAATGATCAACAAGACTGGAGGAGCTCTAGGGGCTTGGCCCACAAAGAGCTGTGGAGATGATTAAAAACTCAAGGTATCCTGAGGGGCAAAATCGGTGGGCAACAAACAATGGTGCGATTTAACATGCAGTTTTATTTTAGGTAAGAATGAACAGGAGGCGGAGGGTGGTTGCCCCAGCAGAAAACCATGATCTGCTGCTCGCTTCTCAGATGAGCTACTTTACAAATCCAGAGCACATTGACTGTACGGATGGCTGGGTCCACAGAAGAAAGAGCATCATGAAACACAGTGTATAAAACGATTCCCAAAAGTACCTTTGTATGATTCCTATACAAAGAGACCTGCATGTATTTGGGTAGATACACAGTGCAAGAGGAATAAGTAGATATTTTGATTATTATTAGACACAGGGTTGGAGATGTCACCGATACCCAAGGACTAAAATGTCATCAGGGCCCCTTGTTAGATTCCAGGTAATTCTGGCAAAATTCTGGCTCACAGTGGGCCACCTACGTCTATGGACCCACCCAGTGATAATTTACCTTGTTGTCAAGTGTATAATTAGAATTTATGTGCAAGTTAGTTAGACTAACCCTTACATTGTATCCCTGGCCTATGTGGTAAGACCTAGCACAGTTTGAAAGACCAAGTAGCAACCTCTGAATCTACCCTCCATCTGGTCAAGATGGTAAATCAAAAACATTATGTCATTCAGTGAGACAGTGAAAATTAGTACCATCATTAAAAATCTAAAGGGGTAATGATCCCCACTATATCTCCGTTTAATTTACCAGCCCTAACTTCTTTTAAAATAAGTAATTCAGACATTTCAGAGTCACACAGACTTGCTTTTCTATTTTTACATACCAGAAAAAAAAGGT